CCGTATTATATGACCTCTGTCTTAATTCTTTATTCTTCATAACCTTTACTGTCTTTTTTTTTTTTCACTAAATGGTATTCTTTTAGTTTTATCTTTAAATAAATGAATATAGGGGTGCCTGGGTGGCTTAGGTGGTTGGGCATCTGCCTTTGCCTCGGGTCATGATCCCAGAGTCCTGGGATCGAGACCCACATTGGGCTCCCTGCTTGTCAGGGAGCCTGCTTCTTCCTCTCCCTCTACTGTTCCCCCTGCTTGTGCTCTCTTGCTCTGTCTAAATAAATATTAATGAAATTACATTCAAAATGTGTTTTGGTTGGTTCTTTGCAACAGTATGTTTCATAAATGTTTGTATCTTGTAAATGTAGGCCATCCAAGTTACTCATCCATTGCTATGGTTATGGTATTTGGGCTTTTTCAAATTTAATTTTTACTCTCATTAAAAATACAGCTCCTGGGTGCCTGGGTGGCTCAGTCGGTTGGGCATTTGCTTTTGGCTCAGGTCATGATCCTGGGGTCCTGGGATTGAGCCCTGCATCAGGCTCCTTGCTCTGCAGGGAGCCTGCTTCTCCCTCTCCTCCCCACTTGTGCTCAAAATTAAAAAAAATTAAAAAAAAAGTACAGCTCTTTTCATTCTTGTATCAGACTCCAAGTGCAAATACACAATAAATTCTCTGGACATTGGAGAAAAATTGTAGATCATGATCAAGTTCAAATTGACAAGAAATGGCAATGAAGCATACCAGTTAACCTTTCCTCCATTCGTGCATGATTTATGTATTTGTTGACTGGTCATCAACACATGGCATTATTAAATTGACTAATTTTTGTCCTAATCAGTATGAAATGTAATGTGCTTGGTCTTTTTTTTTTCTTATTAGCAGATGGGCTTTTTTTTTTTTTTTAAGATTTATTTATTTTAGAGAGAGATGGCACAAGCTAGAGGGGCAGAGGGAGAGGTAGAGAGAATACCAACCAGACTCTGCACTGAGCGTGGAGCCCTCAGATGGACATTTTTTCATATGTGGTCTTCCATCTTCTGTTAAATATGTTTTGATTAGGGGCACCTGGGTGGCTAGCAGTCGTTAAACGTCTGCTTTCGGTTCAGGTCATGATCCCAGGGTCCTGGGATCCAGCCCCGCATCGGGCTCCCTGCTCCACGGGAAACCTCCCTCTCCCACTCCCCCTGCTTGTGCTCCCTCTCTCTGTCAAATAAATAGTAAAATCTTTAAAAAATACATGTTTTGATTATTTTCTAATTTTTAAACTGTTCAGTCTTACTCTGCACACTATTTTTTAAAGTATTTTTTTTTAAGATTTTATTTATCCATCTGACAGAGAGAGCGTGGGCAGGGGGAGCGGCAGGCAGAGGGAGAAGCATATTCCCTGCTGAGCAAGGAGCCCGATGCGGGGCTTGATCCCAGGACCCTGCGATCATGACCTGAGCCAAAGGCAGATGCTCAACCAACTGAGCCACGCAGGCGCTCCCTAATTCTTTAATATTGCATGTTAATACAGATATTTTCTTCTCCCTTGTTTTTTCATGTCCTTAGTTTGATTATGAATTGTTCAGTCTCTTGTTTCAGGTCTTACTCTTTCCCTTATCTGAGAAAATTCTCCCCATTTTTGGATCAATGAAGCATTTATTTATGACTTCTACAAGTGTCCTAGTTTTATCTTCCACATTTAAATCTACAATGAATTGGCTATTTTCCATGGAATAGAAGTGAATACAGTGTATTTTTCCAGTTAGATAACAGTTTGTCTTTGCCACACGTATTAAAAGGGTTTCTGGGGCGCCTGGGTGGCTCAGTTGGTTGAGCGACTGCCTTCGGCTCAGGTCATGATCCTGGAGTCCCTGGATCAAGTCCCGCATCGGGCTCCCTGCTCGGCGGGGAGCCTGCTTCTCCCTCTGACCCTCCCCCATCTCGTGCTCTCTCTCTCTCTGTCTCATTCTCTCTCTCAAATGAATAAATAAAATCTTAAAAAAAAAAGGGGGGGGGGTTCTGATGTCTGCCACTGCTCTACGATGCCCAATCTGTCCTTGACCAGCTTTCAGTATTTAATGCTGGCCCAGGGAAGATATTTTCCTTTCCCTTGGTCTGTTTTTCTCTGTGCTAATAGTATGCTGTCTGGAATGCCATAGTTTGAAAATCTTTGATGTATATTAGGCAAGCCACCCGTTTGTCCTTTAGAAGACCTTGACCATTTTTTTGACATTTGTTCCTCATATTAGGTTTGGAGGAATAGTTTTTGTTGACCCCAGAAAAAGTCTGTTTTGGGGATTGATGGGATTTTGTAAAAGTACATTTGGGGAGAGGAAACATCTTGGGAAATTGAGTTATTTCTAAGAACATGTACCATATTTTCACATTTTTTTCATTCTCCTTTGATACGCAATAAAAATTTAATTCTTGGGACGCTTGGGTGGCTCAGTCGGTCAAGCGGCTGACTTTGGCTTGGGCCCTGATCCCAGGGTCCTAGGATCGAGTCCCGCATCAGGCTCGTTGCTTGGCAGGGAGCCTGCTTCTCCCTCTGCCTGCCTCTTCCCCTGCTTGTGCTCTCTGTTTCTCTGTCTCTGACAAATAAATAAAATCTTAAAAAAAAAATTTTTTTGTAATCTTTTTGGGTGCCTGGGTGGCTCAGTCGGTTAAGCGGCTGCCTTCGGCTCAGGTCATGATCCCAGAGTCCTGGGATCAAGACCCAAACATCAGGCTCCCTGCTCAGTGGGGAGCCTGCTTCTCCCTCTCCCTTTGCCTCCTGATCCCCCTGCTTGTGCTCACTCTCTCTCTCTTTTTCAAATAAATACATAAAACCTTTTAAAATTTAAATCTTTTTCTATTAGAATAATTAAATATCATTCGTTAGTCTTGTTTAGTATTTAATTAAATTTGTTGGGCGGTGGGGTGCCTGGCTGGCTCAGTTGGAAGAGAATGCGCCTCTTGATCCCGGGTTGTGAGTTTGAGCCCCACATTGGGTATAGAGATTACTTAAAAATAAATAAATTTTAAAAAAAATATATAAGTAGTGGCACCTGATGGCTCAGTCGTTAAGTGTCTGCCTTCCGCTGAGGTCATGATCCCAAGGTCCTGGGATCAAGCCCCGCATCGGGCTCCCTGCTCAGCAGGAAGCCTGTTTCTCCCTCTCCCACTCCCCCTGCTTGTGATCCCTCTCTCGCTGTCTCTCTCTCTGTCAAATAAATAAATCAAATCTTTAAATATATGTAAATTTGTTCTGGAGGAAACCAGATGCAAGCTTCAAGGAGATGTTATCTCCTATTGTAATCCATAGGATGGGTTCAATTCCCCCAAGCAACAGGTTGTGACAACACATGTAAAATATTGTCTTCCCGGGAAGCTCATTAGAGACTCAATGCCTAGGTCACATAGGCACCCTGTGCTGTGCGTAACGAAAGTTCAGACTCTCAGAAGGAAACTAGAGTTTGGAATATATCATATTCTTTGTATAAACAGTTTAGGCACACTGAGTCACTCATCACATTGGTGGGGCCCCTCCTACATCTTGGCTCCCAGATACCAATGAAGGACAAATACTGTGAGCAGGCATTTGTAAGGATCAGCAGTCTCAAGCCTGCTTAATGTTCACTCTCTTCTGCACACTAGTTAGTGGGACACTGTTACGAGCGAGTGCTGCGGGTCCACTACAGAAAGAGTCATTAGAGCCAACCCAAGGAGCTCATTGGATCTACTGAGAAGTGTGGGTTTCCTATTCTGTTTTCTTAACCAAATGGGCAAATTCTGCCATCCAAATTACTGTGTAGGAGCCTTTCCTCTATCACCTGCGTGTAGACATCAGTGGGTTAATGATCTTTTCAGAAACCAGCATTTGGGAGAATGAATTAGCTGAGGAATATCTGTGCCCAGAGGTTAGGAAGTCGTACTTCTGTGCCCCACATGAGGGCACAGAAGTGAGAGAAATGGAAGGGCAGCCTCTAGGGCAGCTGGTGGAAAATCACTGCCTCCCGAAATTGGAGAAGGGAGGTTTTTATGTTCTTTTAGAGGAAAACACTGCTGAATCCTTTGTGTGTTTTATAACAATGGGTGCATTCACCATCAAACCATTGTAGCTTTCAAATGAACCTCTTTGCAAATTGCAACTTCTTTCCAGTTCCTGTAGCTCAGCAAGGCCTGAGGTACACTGTTAATGGTTCTGCCAGGAAAAGCTCTTCTAGCATCTTATCATCCTAGTAGATGTGCGTATATATGCTAAAAACTGGTGAGAAGCAGCTCTGAAACTCATTAGTATAGGGATTTTGTGGAGTTGTAAGTTGTGATGCTTTCTTTTTTTATACCTGAGCTGTAATTTCTGAGTAACTTTGGAAATGGGACAAATAGAAAGGAGTAACTGAATCTCTGACAAATATTTTTATAGACAAGTTAAAATTAATGCTCTCTACCAGATATTTTCATTTCATACCAGATGTATCTGACTACTACTAATGGCCTGGAGTACTTCAGGACAATAGGGCTAGCCGGTCCTAGTTATGAATTGGATTCCCATGGGCCCTCTAGCCTTACATGTTTGGCAGTGGAAATAGAAAGAAAAGCTCCCAATGTTTCACTATGTTTTTATTCATTAAAACTTCATGAAGATGTGACCCTGTGCTTCATGTGCTGTGTGATAATGGTGTGTAATAAGGAAGGAGCTGAGGTTTTTTTCTCACAAGGAATTGATGGTCTTAAAATGGAAATGTTTCTTTCCTTTGTGTATCATTTATTTCATTCTCTAATGTGCTTGGGACTCTACCATTAGAGAGCAATGAGACTTGAAGTGAAACTAGTAAAAAAGTAGAAACAATTTTTGTGTGTTCATGATGCTCCTAAATTTATGAGGAAATGATTACATATCGAGAGTGAGAATTCTGATGACCAAGTCATGGAATATTTTGAGATTACAGAATCATGTGAACTTCTTATGAATTGACTATAGATTTCTAGTGCTGTCTCATTCATCCTCCTCTACACATATGTGGGATGTTTTAGGACCCAGTGGCCTTTGAGGATGTGGCTGTAAACTTTACCCTGGAGGAATGGGCTCTGCTGGATCCTTCACAGAAGAAACTCTACAGAGATGTGATGCGGGAAACCTTGAGGAACCTGGCCTCAATAGGTAAGGATGACACCTTACTTTCACCTTGTCAATCAGAAGATGAGTGTTTCTTGCCCATCAGTGTTCTTTGATTTGGAATGGATAAAAGGAATACTTTGGTAAATCAGGCATGGTCAGAACTCATCATGGATTTGTAATAATTCTTCTATAATTTATTGTTTTTTTCTGGGTTTTAATTGTAGAGAAAAAATGGAAAGACCATAACATTGAAGATCAGTACAAAAACCAGGGAAGAAAACTAAGGTGAGTTGCATTCACGATGGAAAGGAGTGTCCCAGGGAATCTTTGTATGTTACAAAAATTTAAAAGCAAGCAGTCACAAGACAGCCCAACTTCAAATGTATTTTTTCCTAGAAAATTTTCACTAAAAGCATTTTCTTAAATGTGACAACTCTGCAGTATTTGCAGAATAGTTCATTTGGAAATATTATTCAGAAACTCCATATATGACGATCACTGTTTTCATATAATAGTTAACAGTTGAGCCCTCTTACAGAATATTCATTTTCTTTCTTTTTTTTTTTTTTTTTTAAGATTTTATTTATTTATTTGTGAGAGAGAGAATGAGAGACAGCACATGAGAGTGGGGAGGGTCAGAGGGAGAAGCAGACTCCCCACTGAGCAGGGAGCCCGATGCGGGACTCGATCCCGGGACTCCAGGATCATGACCTGAGCCGAAGGCAGTCGCCCAACCAACTGAGCCACCCAGGCGCCCCAGAATATTCATTTTCAAACAATTCAGACAGGACAGAAAAACCTACCCTTTTCCTATTTGTAAATGGTAACAATGTAATTCTAGTATTTACTGATAGATAGGAAATTACAAATCAGTAATACCCTTCTGATTTTTTTTGCAGAAGTCATATGGTAGAGAGGCTCTGTCAAAGTAAAGAAGGTAGTCAATGTGGAGGAAACTTCAGCCCTATTCCAAATCTTAATCTGAACAAGAAAACTCCGACTGAAGTAAAACCATGGGAGTGCAGTGTGTGTGGAAAAGTCTTCATGCGCCATTCGTCCCTTAATAGGCATAAGAGATCTCACACTTCACCTAAACCATACAAGTATCAGGAATATGGAAAAAAGCCTTATAAATGTAAAGAATGTGGAAAAGCTTTCAGCTATCTCCAGCCTTTTCAAAAACATGAAAGAAATCACAGTGTAGAGAAATCTTACAAATGTAAAGAATGTGGGAAATCCTTTAGATATCGCCAGTCTGTTCGAAAACATGAAAGGACTCACACTGGAGAGAAACCCTATCAATGTAAACAATGTGGAAAAGCCTTTAGATATCATCAAACCTTTCAGACACATGAAAGAACTCACACTGGAGAGAAGCCTTATCAGTGTAAGCAATGTGGTAAAGCCCTCAGTTGTCCCAGTTCCTTTCGAAGTCATGAAAGAACTCACACAGGGGAGAAACCCTATGAATGTAAAAAGTGTGGTAAAGCCTTCAGTTGTCCCAGTTCTCTTCGAAAACATGAAAGAACTCACACTGGAGAGAAGCCCTATGACTGTAAGGAATGTGGGAAAGCCTTCATTTCTCTTGGAAGCTTTCAAAGACATATGATAACGCATACTGGAGTTGGACCTTATAAATGTAAGGAATGTGGGAAAGCATTCAGTTGTCCCAGTTCATATCGAATACATGAAAGATCTCACACTGGAGAAAAACCCTATGAATGTAAACAATGTGGTAGAGCCTTTAGTTGTTCTAGTTCCTTTCGAACACATGAAAGGACTCACACTGGAGAGAAACCTTATCAATGTAAAGAATGTGGAAAAGCCTTCCATTGGCTGACCACTTTCCAAGTGCATGTGAGAACTCACACTGGAGAAAAACCCTATATATGTAAGCAATGTGGTAAAGCCCTCAGTTGTCCCACTTCCTTTCGAAGACATGAAAGGACGCACACTGCAGAGAAACCCTATGAATGTAAACAATGTGGGAAAACCTTCAGTTCTCCTCTAGGTTTGCAAATACATGGAAGAACTCACACTGGAGAGAAACCCTATAAATGTGAGGAATGTGGGAAAGCATTTGTTTCTCTCACAAGTTTTCGAAGACACATGATGACCCACACTGGAGATGGACCTTATAAATGTAAGGAATGTGGGAAAGCCTTCAATTGTCCCAGTTCATTTCGAATACATGAAAGGACTCACACAGGAGAGAAACCCTATGAATGTAAAATATGTGGTAAAGCCTTTAGTTGTTCAAGTTATGTTCAAGTACATGAAAGAACTCACACTGGAGAGAAGCCCTATGAATGTAAGGAATGTGGGAAAGCTTTTATTTATCGTACAACCTTTCGAGGACACATGAGAGTGCACACTGGAGAGAAACCCTATAAGTGTAAAGAATGTGGGAAAGCCTTCAGTCGACCCAGTTCATTTAGAAGCCATGAAAGAATTCACACTGGAGAGAAACTCCTTGAATGTAAACATTGTGGGAAAGCCTTCAACTGGCCCACATCCTTACATAAACATGTGATGAGAATGCACAGTAGATAGGTAAATTATAACTGAAAAATACAGGAGAGTTTTCAATCTTAACAAATACGAAGTCATGTAAAAACACCACTGGAGAGAAATGCTATAAATGTAAGTAATAGGGGAAAGTCTGATACAAATTAAATCAAGCATAATACTCCAGAGAATTCACTACATGAAAGAAATGCTTCAAAAGTTAAAAATAATGAATTTCATTCTGAAACTCAGTCTCTGGACTATGGACAACTAACTCCAGTTATTGCTTTTCAGCTGAACATTGAGTTGAGACAATTCTGTAAGCACTGTTTAAGCAATAGTACATAAGCTTAGTAGGTAGTGTTTTTCCTTGAATCAGCTTATAAAATGTTGTCTTTCCATTTTGAAGTCTGTTGGATCTATGGGTGAGTTAAAGTGTATTTCTAATATATAGAAGGGTTAATTTTTATATAATTTTTTAACTGTTCAGTAAGTGAAGGGGCCATGGAATAATGACATTTTGGTATTTGTTGGGATTTTCCTATTGACCTCATGTCACAGGTACTGGATAGTCCTTATCTGTTATAAATATTCCTCCTTTCATATGAGAAAAGGTTTCTTTTTCTTTCATCAAAAGAGCCTTATTTTCCTGGCTAATAAATAGTTGGCATAAATTTGTAAGTATGCAGAGTTTATCATAGAGTATTATCTCATTAGAATTGCTATTTACATATTTTCCCTTTACTCTTTGTCATTTCTTCTGTGATTTGGATATTACACTTTAAGAGACCTGTGATCAGACAAAAAAAAAAATGTAGAATTGGAGATGGCTCTCCTGGAATGTGTTAGGTCAACATGGGTAATGTTTTGACCTAATTCTCTAGAATCTGTTTTCTTTATAGTTTCATGTTAGAATTCACTAATAGCCTCACTTGCATGAGATTTGAAAGGCAGAAGGGAAGATGGCCTTCGTTTTTGGAGTCACAGTACATGCAGTGATAAGACCAGAGGAGTTTTGCATACATCGTCCAGCCCATTTTGCTGATTCTTTGTCCTGCCAGTCAAAAGTATCTTCCGTACCACCACCAACTACTTGACTTCCATTTTCTCAGAGCTGTGGGTTTCCACAGATTCTCCACAAATTCCACAGCAAAGTTCGATGCCATTTGGATTTTCCTGCAAGCCATCATGTGTCCACCAGGCAACACATTTAGACTATCATGGTTGAGAATGTTCTTTCAAGTGCTGACTTCCCTCTTCTCTGGATTGTATTTGTATAAGGTCTACTACATGTAGTAAGCATCTTGTTCTCCTAAACTCCTAATGACTGTGGGTTCCACATTCCACCAACACGGCTACAGTGATGCAGTCAAAAGGAACCATGTGGTGGTTTGTTTCTCTACTGCATTGTACAGTGACTTCTGTGACCCAGTCCTTTCTTGTGAGAATAAGCACCTTCCTCTTACAGGCAGATTGTGGGTGTTTCTAACTACTCACAACTGAACCTAATTCTTCGGTGCATTTTCAATTCTGTTTGTATGTGATTTACAATTTTTTTTATCAAACCAATGTTACTGTACATGTTTTTTAAGGTGTCTTATTAACTGTTGTATACTAACAAATATTATTTTCTCCATTTCCTGATAGGATATATTAAAACATGCCATTGCAATTGTGGATTTTCAAGTCAACTGGTAATTTTGTCATCATTTTACATTCTGAGTCTATATTATGTGCATACAAGTTAAAGTATTTTTTCAATTTTTTTTATTCTGTAGTTATAATTTTTGTAATTAAACAAATGTCTCATCATTCTTAATTCCAAAAACTTGCATCATGGTTTTGTCAGTGCCTTCTTTCCAAAGACTACCAGAATGACATCTGTAGTCAAAAAGAGAGAGGTAGAATGCATTGTAGTAATTAAAGATGACCACAAACCATAAATAACAATGGATATCGGGCACCTGGCTGGCTCAGTTGTTGGATCATGTGATTCTTGATCTTGGGGTTGTGAGCTTGAGCCCCACATTGAGTGTAGAGACTACTTTTTTTAAAAGATTTATTTTAGAGAGAGAGCACGTATGAGTGGGGAGAGGGGCAGAGGGAGAGACTCTTCAAGCAGACTCCCAGCTGAGTGTGGAGCCAGACCCAGGTTTTGAGCCCATGACCCATAAGATCATGACCTGAGCCAAAACCAAGTGAGATGCTTAACCGAGTCACCCAGGTGCCCCCAAAATAAGTAAAATTTTTTTAAAAAATGGATTGTATCAGTGTGAATTTGCTCAAACGGTCTAGGATTTGGACTTGTGAGACTCCTACAGAAATTAATACATTGAAAAGCAGACATGTAAAAAAATTTTTTTTTTTAAAGATTTTATTTATTTATTTGTGAGAAAGAATGAGAGACGGAGCACGAGAGGGAGGAGGGTCAGAGGGAGAAGCAGACTCCCTGCTGAGCAGGGAGCCCGATGCGGGACTCGATGCCGGGACTCCAGGATCATGACCTGAGCCAAAGGCAGTCGCTTAACCGACTGAGCCACCCAGGTGCCCAAAAAGAATTTTTAAAAAATAAAAAATAGGGGCGCCTGAGTGGCTCAGTCGGTTAAGCGACTGCCTTCAGCTCGGGTTGTGATCCTGGAGTCCCAGGATCAAGTCCTGCATCGGGCTCCCTGCTCAGCTCTGCTTCTCCCTCTGACCTCCCTCTCATGCTCGCTCTCTATCATTCTCTCTCTCAATAAATAAAAATCTTTAAAAATAAATAAATAAAAAATAAAAGAGCATGTATACAGGGGAATGGGGGGGGAAGCACACCCACAGACCGAGGGGAGACCCAAGCCCAGAAAAGGCCCAAGAATACCTTAAGTCTTCATGCTAGGCTGGTAGTGGAAGTCTTTCTGTGCAGGGAGCCATTCTGCAAGGAGTTCAGATGCCCAGGTTTCAACATAAGATCACAAGGCATACAAAGATACTTGAAAACATGGCCCACTCCAAAACAAATTAAATCATAAATCTCCAGAAACCAACCCTAACGAAGCACAGGCTTCAGACTTAGTAGACAAAGATTTAAAATAATACTCTTGGGGCACCTGGGTGGCTCAGTTGGTTAAGCATCCAACTCTTGATTTGGGCTCAGGTCATGATCTCAGGGTTGTGAGATCAAGCCCCATGTCAAGCTCCGTGCTGGGCATGGGGTCTGCTTAAGATTCTCTCTCCCTCTGTACCTCCTTCCACTTAAGTGTGTGCACACACACACACACAAAAAAAATTATATATATATAAACATACACATACACATACATATACATACACACACCCACACATATATACACACACACACTCTTAAAGGGTTTAAGAGGAAAATAAAGTCAGGAGAAGAATAGATGAAGAAATTGAGAACATTAAAGATAAATTATTTTTTTAAAGATTTTATTTTATTTATTTATTTGGCAGAGAGAGCAGGAGAGCACAAGCAGTGGGAGCGGCAGAAGGAGAGGGAGAAACAGGCCCCCTGTCGAGCAGGGAGCCCCATGCAGGGCTCGATCTCAGGACCCTGGGATCATGACCTGACCTGAAGGCAGTCACTTAACCAACTGAGCCACCCAGGTGCCCGAGGAATTTTCAAACTAAATTGAAAAAACTCACTCGAGGGATCAAAAGCAGATTTGGAACATGCAGAAGAAACAATCTGTGAACTTGAAAACAGGTCATTTGAAATAAGTCTGAGGAGCAGAGAAAAAAAGAATAAAGGAAAGTAAGCCAAGGAACTTCTGGGATACCATTAAACCGAGCAATATTCACATTATGGGAGTCCCAGAAGGAGAAAAGGGAGAGGAAGGGGCAGAGAATTGATTTGAACCAACAATGGTGGAATATCCTCCTTTCTCTGTCTTCTCGGTTTGCTATTCCCATTATGCATATATTTTTTGTACTTAGTATTCCACGTTTTCCAAGGACTCTTTTCATTTTTCTTCATTCTTATCTGTTCTTTAGATTGCATAATCTCTCTCCATCTGTAACTTCTCGTTGATATTCTTTAATGTGACATCGTTATCATACCCTCCTTTACTTCTTTAAATATGGTTTCCCTTAGTTCTTATAATTATAATGGCTGCCCTGAAGTCTGTGTTAAATCTATCTAGATAATCTCTCAGGCAGTTATCTGCCTTTTTTCTGTTTCTAAGCCGATCATTTCCATTTACTTACATGTATTATACATTTTCAGGTGAAAATTGGACATTCTCGATCGTATACTTTTTTTTTTTTTTTTAAAGATTTTATTTATTTATTTGAGACAGAGAGAATGAGAGACAGAGAGCATGAGAGGGAGGAGGGTCAGAGGGAGAAGCAGACTCCCTGCCGAGCAGGGAGCCTGATGCGGGACTCGATCCCGGGACTCCAGGATCATGACCTGAGCCGAAGGCAGTCGCTTAACCAACTGAGCCACCCAGGCGCCCCTAGATCGTATACTTTTCAGGACTGCTTGTTTTATTGGTTTTGTGATTAGCTGACTTTTTGGTGACATCTCTTTTTTCCATTGTGAGCCTCAGATGTTGCTCTCCAGAGGGCACAGCCCTGGGCTTGCTTACAGTCACAATGGGATGACTTGTTTTGACAGGGCTCTCTCATTGACTGTCTCTTTTCTCTCATCACACTGTTATGGCAGACTGGTTGCTTTATTGTTTTTAACAGTACCCTGGGACATAAATTGCTCCAGAGCCTGATCCAGTTTCATTCCTGCCCCTTTGTAGAAGTAGTTTTTGAGGCCAGGGTTTGAGGTTTGTTCTAATCCCAAGCGGGCTTTCCTTATCTTTCCCTGGTTCTCTAGTAAACTAGCTGGCTGGCTTGTTTCATATAGTGATCTCATGAAGCTACTAGCTTCAGCTTCGTGGCTTGCCATCAAAACATCCATTGTCTTCAAGAGCACCCTTAGTCATGAAATTCCACCCATTTGTTTCAAATAAACTTAACCCTTTTGGAGAGAGCTTCGGAGCTATCTGCTCTTAGGAACTGCCTCTTTTAAAGTGACTTTTTTTTTTAAACATTTTATTTATTTATTTGAGAGAGAGAATGAGATAGAGCATGAGAGTGGGGAGGGTCAGAGGGAGAAGCAGACTCCCCGCTGAGCAGGGAGCCCGATGTGGGACTGCATCCCAGGACTCCAGGATCATGACCTGAGCCGACGAAGGTAGTCGCTTAACCAACTGAGCCACCCAGGTGCCCAAAAGTGACTCTTACCATTTATATTTGTTTTGCTGGGGAGGGGGTCCACAGAGCTAGCTCCTCATGCTGCCATTCCAGCATAGTATTTTTTTCTTTTGATACTATGGTGAATGGAATTTTCTTACTTTCAGGTTTGGATTTTTCATTACTAGTCTATAGCAATACAATTGATTCTTAGATCTTCGATCCTATGACCTTGCTATTCTAAGACTTCTTTTTCCCCTTAGATTCAATAGTTATTTTTACAAACAAGATTGTGTCATCCGCAAATAAAGAGTTTTGCTTCTTTCTTTCTTTCTTTCTTTTTTTTTTTTTTTTAAAGATTTTATTTATTTATTCATGAGAGACAGAGAGAGAGAGAGGCAGAAGGAGAAGCAGACTTCCCGCGGAGCAGGGAGCCTGATGCGCGGGACTCGATCCCAGGACTCTGGGATCATGACCTGAGCTGAAGGCAGACGCTCAACCATCTGAGCCACCCAGGCGCCCTGCTTCTTTCTTTCTAATCTTTGTTCCTTCAAGTTTTCTTCCTTGCCTTGCCTCAGCTAGGTGTTCCAGAACAACTCTGAATAGAAGTAATGAGGGGGAATGCATTCAGTCTTACACCTCTAAGTAGGATGTTACCTGTAGGCTTTTCATATGTTTCATCAGATTGAAGTTTCTTTCTAGACAGCATTTGGTGAGAATTAAATCCACTCTTGCCTTCCGGGACAAACTCCACTTTGTCAGTGTATAAACCTTTATATGTCTTGCCATATTTCATTTGCCAATATTTTAAGAGGTTTTATGTTTGTGAAGGTCATTCATCTGATTTTTTGGTTTTTTCCTCTCCTTTTTTCAGTCTACCCAAACCCACTTCTGTTTTGGTGTCCTTTTTTCCCCCTCCAGCTTTATTGAGATACAATTGACAAAATTTAAATATACTTAAAATGTTCATCGTAGTGAGTTGACACAAGTGCACCGTGTGAAAGGGTTCCGTTTTTTTTCTTGTAATATCTTTGTCTAGATTTGATAAAATGATTTATTATGTAGTTGCTCCTCTTTTATTAGTGTGGTCCTGGTATTTCTTCATTAAAGTTTGTTAGAATTCCAACAGTGAGGCTATCTGGTCCGTGGCTCTTCTTTGTGTGAAGGTTTGTTTTTTTTTTTTAAGAGTTCCTTCCCATCAACCAGTAATAAATATATTTTTAAAGATTTTATTTATTTAGGGGCACCTGGGTGGCTCAGTCGTTGGGCGTCTGCCTTCGGCTCAGGTCATGATCCCAGAGTCCTGGGATCGAGTCCCGCGTCGGGCTCCCTGCTCCGCGGGAAGCCTGCTTCTCCCTCTCCCATTCCCCCTGCTTGTGTTCCCTTTCTCGCTGTGTCTCTCTCTGTCAAATAAATAAAATCTTTAAAAAAAAAAAAAGATTTTTTTTTTTTTTTAATCTTTGGGGGGTGGGTTGGAGAGGGTATACTTGTTTCCTTGTTTTTCTATTTCTGTTATTCGTGTCTTCTTTTTTTCTTGATTAGTGCTGCTTTGATTTTATCAATTTTCTTGTTCTTGTCAGAGAACCAATTGTTTTATTGATTTTCTCTATTGGTATTCTGGTGTTGTGTTTCATTGATTTCTGCTTCTGATGTTTTTCTGCTTCTTAATATTTCCTTTTTTTAATTTTACTTTTTTTTTTTTTAAAGATTTTATTTATTCATAAGAGACAGAGAGAGAGAGAGGCAGAGGGAGAAGCAGGCTTCCCACTGAGCAGGGAGCCCGATGCGGGACTCGATCCCAGGACCCTGGGATCATGACCTGAGCCGAAGGCAGACGCTTAACCATCTCAGCCACCCAGGCGCCCTAATTTTACTTTTGATGTGCTTTTTCTAGTTTACTGAAGTTGAAACTTATTGATTTTTAGATCTTCCTTCCTAATGTATTTAAAATTATAATTTTGACCCCCAAAATTTTGTGTGTGTTCTGTAAATTTTGATATTCTATTTTCATATTCATTTACTTCCGGGTGTTTTTCTCAATTCTTTTTATTATTTAATTTTTAATTCCTTTTTTTGTGGTTTGAATTCTTTGATTTCTCCAAGGATCCAAAGCAATTTTTAAGGTTAAATTCTTTTATTTCCATATAGTTAACA